GCAAAGAAAGGAGTCAGGATGCAGAAGTAAATTCAAAATGATTTATTAGAGAAGAGGACAAATGTGAGGGGTAGAAAATTCGCTTCTGTAGTAAGATAACAATCTTATTCAGCGGGGGGGGGGGTCCTTTTGTTTTGAATTTGTGAATGAACTCAAGTTTAGATTATGTTGTAATCTCCCTATAAAACTTCTCTGTTTGAAGAGAATCACAGAGTTGCCAAAAACAGTTTTTCTTTCTTTCAATAAGCTGCCACGGAGACTTGCTAGGAGAAGGCAAGGTTGATTATACATTACACAACCCTTGTCTCTTCCTTCTCCTTTGTAACTGTAGGACTGTTCCTAGTTCTGCACCTGGCATTGTGTTTGTAAGAACCGGAGTAGTGATCAATCAGATGTTATCTACTTGTGTCTGTCTGCAAGGGAATGGTAGCCAGTTGATGGTGCCATCATTTTTACTAATTAGCCTCTAATCAGTGGTTTATATGGTAATTAGAGACCTGTTGCTATGGGTAGATCAAGATGGGTAGCAGTTCGAAAGCAAGAAATTGCAAGTAGATAAATAAGTACCACTTCGGTGGGAAGGTAACAGCGTTCCGTGCGCCTTGGTGTTTAGTCATGCCGGCCACATGACCACGGAAATGTCTTCAGACAGCGCTGGCTCTTCGGCTTTGAAACGGAGATGAGCACTACAACCCTAGAGTCGGATTCGACTGGCTTTCGAGCATTGGAATCTTTACCTTTTTTAGCAGTAGAAAAGGGCAAGAGTCCAGTAGGACCTTAAAGACTAACAACATTTGTGGCAGGGTAGGAGCTTTCCTGAGTCACGGCTCACTTCTTCCGATACAGCTAGAATGTGAGTCCATCTGTCCTATATACTGGAAAGTGGAGTGATTTCAGATGCCAAATGACATTAGCAGGCAAATGACAATAGCAGGTGTGATTGGATTAGGAATGATATGCGGAGAGGCAGTAGGTGTGGAGAAATCGGCATTGGTAATAAAACAGGAAGCCTCAGTCTCAATCCAGTCCAGGTGGACACATTGTCTTAAGCTTTGTTATCAGTTGCAATTCAGCAGTCTCTTTCTATCACCCTTTGAAATTCCTTTGTTAAGATAACTGCTACTTTTAGGTCAGCACCTGACCTGAACATCCTGGCTTACAGACAGCCTGCTAACCTAAAACAACTTCTCACCCATAATGATAAACTACCTAACAGTATAACATGGACTCTGTTACCAAGGCCTATTGGCCCCAAATGGACTGGGGAAATGTAGAGGTTCAGAAAAGCAGCTCTTGGGAAATAATCGTCAGATATTCTTTATTAATCATGCTGGTCTCACCAACAACACCCACAGGGCCTGTGAGGGAGAGATGAGTCCCTTATGGAGAGATGCTGAGGCAGCTGTTTTTGCCCGCTATAAAGAGGGGCTGAAGGGTCTCTCTAGAGAAGAAGGCCTCTGAGAACAGGAAGAGAAGGGTTGCTTTGTCAGCATCGAAAAAGGCCACCTGCCCCCCAGCATAGTTCAGAGACACTCGGATCCTTTGCGGGTCTGAACTCAGGGACAGAGGAAAAACCAGCGTCGGTGATCCATACAACTCACCTGCCTTCCCTAGGCACCACAAGTCATTCTCAGCATCAATGCAGATTTTTCCTTTCCTCTTCACAGACTGCCTAGTAATGCCCACAGTCCAGTCTCCCTCCCTTCCCACAGTGACTTCCCAGAAATGCCGTCCTCCTGTAAATCCCTCACGTCCAAGCGCAGCAAAATAGTCATCAAATCTCTCAGGATTGTTGGGCAGATCTTGGGCTTCCTTTCCCCATCGCAGGCTTTTCTGATCTTCAGACAGCCTGAGTTGAGGATGGGCTGTGTCTGGATCCAGGGTCACCTTTCCTGTTGGAGAGAAATGAAGAGACAAAAGCAGAATCAGCCTGATTCTATCTTAATTATAATTCATTACTTCATGAGCCTCAACTAACTGCAACACTGCATAAGCACCACCTGTCTTAAGAAAACCCCAACCCTGAATAGTTCTGATTTTAAAGGAATAGCTCAGTTTGTGGGGTTGTTTGTTTATTTTTGTACTATATGTGAGCATGGGAAGAAGTTGAAAGCTCTAGTAGACATAAGAAGGAATCTCCCTCTTAACATCTATATATCAAATTCCCAACATGGCCCCCTGCATGCGGATACTTATTTCCACAGATCGGGGGCACATGGAGGGGAAAGAGATTATCCTGCACATTTGGGGGCACTCCCCAGGTGTGCAGAAAAATCTAAAAACTTTTTTAAAGGATACGGGGGATACTTAAATCTCCCCTAAAGTACAACAGCCTTTTCTGCTCATGCACGGAGAAAGGACTTACCAACGATGAGGAGCTTTCTCTCCCCCTCCCTCTCTCTTCTTGGAAAGTGACTGTTCTGACCACATGACTGCCCTTAGCAACAGCTTTCCTAGCGATGAGGCCTTTGCAGGCTTTTCTGCTTTTGGGAAGCTGGGAGCAAAGAGGGATGGAAAGCAGCGGGTGGCTTTATGGCTGAGCCTGCACTGGCTCGGCCTCCCAGGCACTGCCACTGCTGATGGGCTCAAAGTTAGGGGGAAAGGAGGGGAGGAAGAAGGGGGTGATTGGCTTGGGGGGGGAAGAGAAAGGGAAAGATGGGGGTATTTGCTT